TAATTCGAACTTTATTTCTTTTCAAGTGTCAAAACAGTGTCTCCCCTCATATCTTCTTTTTAACAAGGATGAGTTATAGATTTATAGGATTTCAACAAAATTATTATACCATTCGTGTCACTACATTGTGATATACCGTTGGTCATTATTCCGCTGTTATGAGCAAAATGAATCGCGAGCTATTGGACCACCCTGTTTAACTCCGCTATCTTTTAATAATCTGTGTATTCGTGACACCGACTCGCATGTCATTTTAACTGATAATATAAGACCGACGGCATGGGTTAAATCTTCTTTACAAAAGAATAAGACACTTAAGGTCAGAAAGACAATTGTTAATAGGTTTAAAACAGGGTTATAAATCATTTTAAAACATAGATCAAGTTAAATATTGTGTGTGTTCACAACAAGTAACAATACGGTGATACAACGGGAATGAGTTTGAATTAATAGAGCTTTATTTGTTCAGATATTAATCACATTCATTCAATGATTTAACTCGTACATCTATATATCTTATACTAGTATTCAATAATTACTGTCCCAGTCAGTTTGCCACAGTAACCGTGTGTAATTTAAAAAAATATATAGAGAAAAACCAAGACGTTTTAAAAATGCATTTTAATATGAACATAGCAGCTTATATATTTTCTTAACCCTCGCAAAACATTATGCACTGTATTCAAAGTAGTATGGTACTGTATTCGGACACTTGGATATATTGATATATTTCCCTGATTGGCCTTGTGGCTGACAGCATGGTCTTTAGTATTATGTTTAAAAGACACTGCTGTCGGTCAAATTAACATTCTAAACTATTTTCTTTAGATAAAGGATCCAATATGTCGCGCTCTATTAAACATTATGTGTACCTTTTACAATATCATCTTAGTTCTTTTAAAATATACGCAGGAAGTGCGGATCTTTGCCTGGCGGCCGTAAACATTTCATTATAGTGATGTTGTTATTTCAAGACAGGACATCTAGTTGCTGCCGCTGCTGCTGTTGTTGTTGTTGCTGTTGTTTTTATTGTTGTTTGAAAATTCCATTCTAATTCAGTTTTTTCTTCTAACAGTCGTGAGTTATCTTGCATTTTCCTTGATTTCTAACAGGAGGCTAAGATAGTATATACTCGTATAAATATGCGTATATATAAAGCACGTCTTCTATACGAATGTTTCAGTTTTGTTTATCTCATCAGATCCATCTGTCATGTTTGCTATAGGAAGAGTCGTTGTATTGTTTACATGAATTGTTCGTTTGCGTGATGAACTTGGATAACATCAGCCCGCCCATATCCGTCACCATACCGTAAAAAAATAAACCAATATTTGAGTGCATAGTCCGAGCTCAATACCATGTCAAAGTTATAGCTTAAATTGCGGTACTGAATAATTGTTTCAACAATAGACAATTTGTGAAGGGATGACACTGAAAATGATATGACGTGCATAGAGGTGTCATACTGATTAACAGATACTGTCATCTTAAAGTGGATTGGTCTACAATGGGCACATTTCACATTTCAAATATTTATAATAAAAAAAAACGATAGAAATATATCATTTGGATTAAAATGCTGCTTGAAAAATAAAAATATTGATAAAGTTCTATGTGATTTTAAAATGAGCATATAATATTTTGTTCCAGAACACTTTATTATCTGCCATATAAATATATTAATATCGGATCATGTATCTTACACTTGCCAAGAACTTTCATGTATAATGATGTTTTGTCTAATACTAAATACATATACTATCAATGTAATTATCCATTGAATTGTATACCTTCCATTTTAGATCAATTCACTTTAGCGACAGGTTCGTAAAATTCCTAGACAAAACTAAGTCCTAAATTTTACCGCCGCTATGTACACAGATTCAAACCATTATGACTTTATTCTGGGGGAAAAGGCATTTACTTGAGTTTGATTTTACACCATCATTACTAAGATATTGTATAAATCATAATATTTATTATATGTGCAATGTTATTCGCATACTAATTTGGTTATTGTGAGGTTAAAATTTAATGTCAATATCGACAATTCAAAATACAAAACATCATAAAAAGTATTATTTAAATAGTAGGAATAAACACATAAGAGAAGGGTTGCCAGAAGTTTTTTTTCCTTTTTGTTTGTTTGTCTGTTGTTTGTTTGTGTTTGTTGTTGTTGCTGTTGTGGTTTGCGGAGAGGGGGAGATAGGGGGTGGATGACGTTTAGTGAGGATTGCGACGAGAATATTTTCATGAAATGAAGACTACATTTCCTTTTCCCAATATAAAAACTTCTACATTATGTTTAAATTCCTCACAACTGATACATAATTATGTACTTCATAGATTATGTAAGTGAAAGTAAAAAAAAAATGTCAATGTATATAGGACATTCACATACAACATTTGTCGAGAATATAATGGAATTGTGACAATAACGTACACAGATTATGTCACGACAATGTCACAGCCATACAGTTGTAATTAAGTTACGTCTGCAGCTGATAGCTGGCGGTATGATGACGTCACTTTCCACCGAGTTAATAACTAGGGTACTAATCATCAACCTAAATCAAAGTCGGAACGTCTCGGCTATTATTCATAATTGACGGATGCGATTGACCAAACAAAATAACTGAATTGTATATTAGAAAATGTTATTGTAACATAGCCCTTGGGTTGCAATTGCGCTATACTTTACACTTTATTTATACTCACCACCGGTTGCCTATATGGGAGAGTACTCCAGAATATTTGAGCAGCGTTACGACAAAACCAACATAATGGGTTTGCGACCACCATGGATCCAGACCAGCCTGCGCATCCGCGCAGTCTGATCAGGATCCATGCTGTTCGCTTACCAACCCTATTACAAGTACAGAAACTGATAGCCAACAGCATGGATCCTGATCAGACTGCTGGTCGCAGACGCACTATGTTGGTTTTGTCATGACGCGGCTCATTTGTCATTTGGATTTTAGAGGATAGTGCAAGATACGGATACAGAAAGATGCCCCCATATCAGAAGCTTATAACTAATATTATATAAAATGACAGGTTATATGGTTGTTAGTATACATGACCCGAGCCACAAGGCGAAAATTAATATTGCACATAGGCCAAACTGTTTATTTATGGCCATATAACATGTCAAGAATCTTTAATACTGCAAACTTCAGTTACTGGAGAAAAAAAATTATTAATCGACTGAAGCCGTGTATATAGATTATTTATTTCATGCTTTTCGGTGGTTTATAGAAATATATCAGTGATATAAAACTGGTAATTTCACTGTTTGAAACAGTGAAATTACCACTTTGATAATTTCACTGTTTTGAATTTAAGCCCCTTACGTTGTTTCAGTGAAATACCAGCGTGCACAGTACTGGGTACCAACTTAAGGACGTGACGTCGTAAATGACGTCAAGTTGTATTATTATTTGGCGCGCTTTTCATTCATTATTAGCTTAAAATGTCTTTTTAAAACGTCTTTTTGCATGAAATAAAAAGAAAATTTGTTTAGTTTAGTGTAAGATCGAAATATATTTCACCTTGTGAACATCAAAAGTTCATATTTCACTCGTGGCTGCGCCACTCGTGAAATATACCTTTTGGTGCTCACTCGATGAAATATATTCCGATCTTACACTGAACTAAACAAATATCCTCTATATAAACGTCACGATTATCCACTGAAAAGCGACGTAACGAACGTGCAATATTATGAATAGCGTTATAGTGACTTGACCCGGTTTGCAAAAAAAAAACGATGATCCCAGTGTGTCACGAGGATTATCGCTCGGATAAGACTTTAAAACGTCAACTTATGGTGTCAAAGTTAATGCTGAATTTAATTAAAACAACTAAATATGATATAGTTTAAGATTACCCGGGGTAATTTGCCTAATTGATCGAGAGTTATGGGGTCTTAGTTTAACGTTCAATAAAATACACACGTTTAGGTTCTGAAATAAGAGAAACCCGTCAATGAGATATTGTCAGCCAATTTGTAAAGCAAATCTGCCAAAATTAGCCGGTAGACACCGAAGAGATAGACTAAATGTCAAATGGCTGTGATTTAATGCTATCTTGGTTTTCGCTCAATCTGTTTAGTATAATTGATTTCACAAAAAACTACACTACTTGATTGACAGCTATAGCGTTACGTGGTGCTCTTCAGTAAAACTTTCTGCTATCATATAAAGAAATAGATTACTTGTCTATTTTCACATTTATGTCAAATATATATTATCTATTCTGATTAGAAAAGGATTTTTTGTTCTCCTTATTCTTCCCTATTTGAAGTTTCCCTTGAAGAAACTTGTGCTAGATTACTTACAGACAATTTCCGTCCGTCTTCCAAAATTCCCTTAAGTTATTCAGAAATAAATCTTACTGGACTGTCTAGTTTTTTTTTTATTTTTACAAAATATCATATTTTAATGCAGACGGCATGTTTGGTATACTGCATATTTAACATACATTTAAATCAGGGCATTTATGTACATTTATTTTCAGAATTTAGGTGGTCACATTATATAGGCAACTACATGTGCCATGTTTATTCTTCAGTGTAAAAGAAAAGGCATGTCAAAATTAAAGGAATATGTTTCTGGGTAATCAGTGCGTATGGCGTCATATTAATGTTGTTTGTACTGTGTAATCCGTTAACTCGTGATTTGTTGTTTCCCAGACCAAAAATATATTACTTCTGGGCCAGATTATTTAGAATTTGTAATTTACATTACTTTGTTATTTTGGTTATGGCCAGTCAATAACAATGTGGTAAATTAATTTATCAATATGTACATATTGTCACACATCAGGGCAGACCTATGTAACTGCAGTTAGCAATGAGTTCAAATACTTTATATTTTAGATGTTGATAAACATTCATGTATACAGCTGTACATGGCAGTTCAGACCAAAGCTAGGAGAAACTAAAATTCATTGACTATGGACATTAAACAGTGAAGGAAGAATTGAAAACGAGCACAAAGTTCTGTTTTTATCAAGAAAGCACATTTTATTTTCATCACACGGAGACAGTAAACCTCAAAAACAACATAAACAGTTTGAAAAACAAGGAAAAATCACACTTTTTAGTAGCTTGACAAAACTTTTTTTTTTCAACACTTTTATTTAAGTGTCTAGTTCACACTAGTGATTCAAAATTTATCAAATTTCATTACAAAAATTCAGAAACTCATCATGTTTTCAAGGAATGTGATCATTGTTGGTCCTCAGTCAAAAAGGGGAAGCAACTGGTAAGAAACTAGAAATTCTATCCAAAATAAAATCATCACAGTTACTTCCCTTTAATTAGGAAAAAAACTAAATTGGGTAAAAAAAAATAAGCTATAATGGCAAGAAAATGAAAGTTTTAAATGCATAAGTAGATCTATCTATTGTTTATAAAAATAAAAGAAAAATATTACTGAAGCACCAAACAACTAACGAGTTACATAAATCAAAGTGTTTAATAGTTTTGTATGTAATGTAAAGCTGGGATTCATAATATAAATTGCAAAGAGGGCGGGGTTGGGGGGGGGGGAATTTTATAAAATATTATTTAAATCAATAAATCAAATTTATGATGAAAATACGTCACTCTACATTGATTTATAATTAATCAATCAAAGTCAAAATAAGCAATATTCACACTAAAGTATACAATGTATATATATATTTACATATTTAAATACATGTGTACATAGATACAGAATAACTACCATTATATACATATAAATAACTTTGGTCTATATACTTTGGTCAGAATTTTCACTATTTACATGGAATATATACTATGTATAAACAAAAAAAGTTTTCCCTTTGAAAAAAAGGTGGTCCCATACAAAACCTTACACTTAAACATATCCATAATATTTTAAGTACTTAAATGCATAAGGAAAGTAACAGACTTGATTGAATTTACAAAAAAAAAATATATGAAAAATAACATTTAAGTTACTCTGTAGATATAATTATATAATTATCAACATTTTCATTGAACTTTCCATTCTGTTTATTAAGTATCAAAATTATGACAATTTTTGGGCTTTTTAAATACTGATAATGCTTTGATAAATTATCTTATCATGGTGATAATTACAGATAACAGTAATTTCACTGTAAATGACAAAAAATGAAACCATTTCATCCAACGATTGTCAGAAGCAAAAAAAAAAGAACTTTATAATTTACATATAATTATCATACAATCATGGCCTAATTGTTTAATTAGAACTCCTAACTACTAATATATTCATAAAGTAACCTTTATATATATCAGGAAGTTCCTTTAATGTGAGAAAAAAAAAGAAAGAAATTTTTTTTCGAAAACACTTTTTTTTTTCTATATTGAATATGATATGAACATAGTTTTATCCTAAAGCCTTACCCTAAATTTGCATAATAGACTTGTCCTGGTTTGAAATTGAAGCAGTCCATGGTTAAAAAAAGAGGGTTTTTTGGTTATCAATTTTTTTTACAATTATGCAGTTAATGGTAAAGAGCATGGATGTCCTGCCTGACCTTGCTCTCTACTGATGACCATTGCCATGTGATACCTCAGTATTGCAAATGGTATACTAAGAATTAACATTTTTTTTATTTTCTCATAAATCTATAAATATATATGCATTTAATACTTAATAGATTGCTTTCTAAAATAGTCAGATTATTTACAGTGTACAAAAGATTACAAAAAATAAATATATGTATATATTTTAAAAATGCCTATATTTTTTCTTTGAGATTCTGACCAACTGAAAGAACTTGATACATTGTTCTGGTGTAATTCTTTTCTTTATTTCTGAGATTCTTTCCAACTGCTGTGGCAAGAAATTTTGAATAAGTTCAACATTATACATGAGATTCAAGAAATACAATTTTAGATAAGACAATGTTTAAAGTTTATTATTCAAACATCATTCCTATATAAAAATACGTGGAATGCTAGAATTTTTTTAATTGGTTTGAAATTATAGCTTTCATTGTAATAAACAAATTAAAAAAAAAAAATGTTTTGGTGAATATTTCACAGTAACTTTTTTTGTCTTCAAATTAGGGTATATAAAATGCTATATAAGGGATAAGCAATTTTGTATGTTCAAAATCATGAAAACCCATATGCCTAATCTGGATTCACACAAAGGACCTCAAAGCACTTGCGAGCCATTTTACCAATTGAGACAGAGTCAGCCACATATATATTCTGTAGTTACAAGTTCTAAAAGCGTGTCACGTGCAATCTTCAATATCAAAATTAGTGGCAAATATTATCTAAAACATGTGACATTTTCCACGACTGTTGCAATTATCATGCAATTAACACAATATGAATGAATATCATTTTTAAAAATGAGCGCGCCACCGTGTCGGTTCTAAAATGTCACATGGTTACCGGAAATCATTTTGCATAATGAATACTAAGAACGAGTTTCCTGTTCAAACTATTACGCCTAAATTTCCAATATAAGACTCTACCCATAATAACGTTGATAAAAAAAAGAAAACATGATATTGCTTGACTCTACAAAATTCTTTAACAACTTTGAAAGTGATTAATGAAATAAACATTGTTTTGTTGTTTTCTCAACAGCATCGAGGTAATTCATTAACAAAACATCATGTACAATGTAAAAGCCATAAGAAGTTAAATTTGTAAAAGTTTGGTCCCATTTAACCAGCCTTAATGACATTACAAAATTACAGAGAAAAAAAAAAGTAAGACAAAATTTGTACAAATTTGCAGCGCTTAAAAAAGGTTACCCTTAGGTAACACCAAACTGACTTATTATGATTATATTTGATATAGTCAATAAATAAAATCTCTAAACATATGATTTAAATAAGAATATTGTTTGCAAAAACAAACACTATAATAGTTAATAACAATTCTGCCATACCTCAAAAGTATCAACTCATAGGGAGGTTAAGTATACATACTTTAAATTCAATTAAATTCAGAAAAAAACTCATCTGTCAAATTTACATTACTTAATAATACAACTGCAAATCACAAGCTAACCGTTCTATGAACACATCACGGGACTAAAGTCTCTTTTCAGTTCAAAACCTGGTTTTTTACACAGGGGCAAAGGCTCTTGTTCATTTGTATAAGTAGAAATCTTCAGCTGCTCTGACATACGAGCCTTCTTTACACTTGGTTCACTAGAATCATTGTCCATTACAGTTTCACCTCTTTCATCAGACTTGGCCGACTTGGCATCATGGTCATCAGAAACGGGGTCAATCTCTTCATCACTGTCTTCAGCCATTTTTTCCTGCTGCAGCAATTCCATTCGGTGTTTGAGTTCAACTACAGACAGAGAGTTTTGGTTTATATCAGGATTTCCACCCAGAGTGGTCGCCTTTCCGATGAAGTTTCTTATTTCGGAAAAATAAGACTCGTCTTTATCATCAAGTTCAGTCTCCCTTTCTTCCATTCGCTCAGGTGAATCAACAATATTTGGTCCCTCGGTCTCGTGCTTCTTCAAATGACGATCAAGATTGGTCTGTTGACCGAAGCATCTATCGCACAATGGACATCTAAATGGTTTTTCTTTGTTGTGAATATTTCGAACATGTCGCTGAAGATTTGACGAGATGGAGAATGACCGCTCACAGTATTTACATTTATAAGGTTGTTCACCAGTATGTGTTCTCAAATGGCGAGTTAAGTTTGCACTCCTGGGAAAGACCTTGCCACAGAATTTGCAACTGTAACGATCTTTCAGTTTATTAGGTGTTGAAAATTGTCCAATCTGGGATGGTGAGCCACCAAACTCGGGGAATGCTTTTCCTTGAGGAGACATCGAAGAAATAGATGAAGCTGATGTAACAGACTTTGGGGAAGCCTGACTGATGAAACTGAAGGGGTTAATTCCAACGGGATACTGTGGTGGGCTAGCAAAAGGAAAACGCTGGTATCTCAGAAAATTGCTGGACTCAACTGGAGACTTTTCTTTCTGTTCAGCCATACGAAGAGCCTGTTCCATCATAAGCTGTTTTGGAAACTGTGGGTAGGCATAATGAAGACGTGGTTCGGGTGTAACAGGGGTTTTAACTTCACCAAAAACATGGGTTTTTCTTGGAGCTTCAGGGGGAGTTATTTCTTTTGTTTGACTGAGATCAAGGGGAAGTTCTCCCTCCTGCTTGCCAACCTGATTAGCTGCAGAGTTGTTCTTTGGAGGAGTCACATAGTCGTCTTCAGCAGGTTTAGAGAAATCAAAAGGTTGTTCTGACGAATCAGGTTTCATATCTTGCGAAGGTGAAGGACTTTTCTTTGGAGGAAGAAAAGCATGCGATGAAAAGTCGCTAGTTTGTGATGTCAAAGACTGAGGAATAAACGCAACAGGCTTAGGAACAGTTACTGACACAGTGTGTGTTTTTGTATCCAATGAATGTAGCGATGCACCAACACTCTTTTCACTCTCAGAATCAGAAGGAATATTGTCCAAATCACTACCGGAGTTGAGCTCCGATCCACCATCGCTACCCTCTGGGGCCCGTTTTTCATATTTTTCAGCCGGGCTCAAATCTGGTTTCTCCGGTGTCAAGGATGGCAATCCAGGTGACCTCAAACTGCTCGGAGAAAGAGCTGTTAATGCAGACAATGGATGGCCAGCTGGAAACATCTGTAGATTACCAAGAGCAGGTGGATAGAATGGAAATGCTGGGCGGCTACCGTATAAGCCCATCATCATAGCTGGCGAGAAGGGTGTTGATTGACTAGCGCCCAAGAGCCCAGTTGATGGCGGAATCTTTGTTTCTCCTCCAAAACCACCTAATCTCATGCCGTTTCTCAATGCACCTTCACAGAATCTCTTATGTTTACTGAGAGATGTTATTGTGGAGAAGGCTTGGCCACAATCATTACATTTAATCTGTTGACGACAGTCAGCATGCATTCTCTTGTGTCGGCAAAGATTGGAAAACTGTGTGTAAGCCTTTAGACAGACCTGAAAGTAGGAAATTCCATTTGTAAAAGAACATTTAAACCAAACACATGTACTTGCAAAACACTGAATTTTATAAATTGGAAATATTATGCTGGCGTCCATTGGCAGACTTTTTAATTCTTTAAGATTATCTTTATTTTTCTGAAATTCTTCCCCAAAAGCATAACAGTAAAAGTATAAAATATAAAGCAATAGCATATAATTTGAAACAATTTATAGCCAATCTGAATGAAAGTTTAATTTTAATCATGATATCACCAAATTTTGATAAAATGGATACTTTTACAAAAAATGATAGCTCGACAAGTTCATTTAAGACAATTAGCAGATTATGGGTTAAATTTATAGATATAACTTACCTCACATTGGAACGGTTTCACACTTGAGTGAATATGCTGATGTTGCTTTAGACCAGATGACGTCGCAAATGTTTTGCCACATTCGGTACAAGCATGACACCTGGCACCATGATGCTGGGATCGGATATGACGCTGCAAGTTTGACGGATCGGTAAAGTGACGGTCGCAATGTTCGCAGGCAAACCTTCTCCCGGACTCATGAACTATCTGATGACGTGCTAGGTTTGACTTTAAAGAGAAACTCCTGGGGCATTCCTCACATTTAAATTCTCCGCCCTCAGTGTTTTCTGGCGAGTCTCTTTCATTCGGTGCCATTGGTGAATATCTACCATCCACACTGTCAATAAAATTATAAAATTTAAATTCTGTTATCCCTGTCTCATAGTTTTTTTTTCTAGATAATTAGTAAAAAGAATTAATTACACATCCCAAGAAAGAAAAATTATTTTAAGAGTTTTAGGAATATGCAACATCCTTAATAATTATATGCTTTCAGACATTCTGTTTTAAATTTATTTACAATAAAAGTTCCAATTTACTATATATCATACAAAAGAGAAAAATGTGCTTTAGTTCCAATTCCCTTTTATTTAATGAGAAGAAAAATATAAAATATCTCGCAATAAGTATGTTGCAATTCCAAACCACCTGTTACTATTTATTAATGCTTAATTTGTCATTCCCCAATTCATCAGTACACTTTTTCTGATGTAAATTAAAGAGCAAACAGAAATACCGTTATAATTTTGTCACAATAAAAAATCAAAGTTTATAATTTAATGACAGAAATCATCAAGGAAAAAATGGTCACTGTTTCATTTAAGGTATCATTTTTACCCGGTTTATCTATAATCAGTTACGGTAAATAGCAAACATAGCTAAATCTATTGTTCTCCAGAGCACAATGTAATGCTCAGGTGCAAAAAAAATAGTTTTCGTTTTCTACGCCACTTGACAAAAATGACAATATTTTGCTAATGTACGAGGATCGTAAAATTCATGAAAATGCCTCACTCTAAGGATTCCTTTGTTGACCAGGGTATCTTAAAACTCTAATATTTCGGAAAAACGTGTCAAAATTAGTAACTCAATCCATTTTATTGTCTTGAAAACATCGAATTTTTTATCACTGCCCGCTACATTTCACCCCAGATGCGATCTTTTATTACAATTGTTCTTTTTTTTTCTTTCAAGATTGAATTATTCACTTAACTCCTTGAGTCATATGTCTAAATATGATACACACGTTTATTTTGACAGAGTGCAAGAATTTTAATTATAAATGCTAACTTCTTAATCTATATAATCATGCAAAATGAAATCACATTAAAATTAATTTCTGGTTAAAATCATCAAGTGAAATGCGACAACAAACATTATGATTTTCACCTTGATCAAATGTAAACACTGTCGGAAATCTGATATCGTAATTTTTTTACATTTTTAACAATAAAAAGAACAACATAAGGGTCAGTAAAGTTCATTATAGATTTTAAAAAGCCATGCTCCCGTTATTTGATCAGTGTCTTACAGGTGCTTTCTTTTTGTCATGCATTAAGATTACATGGATCAATAACATTTAAAAATGTGAAACTGATTCATACGTCTCTATCATTTCAAGTATGTGACAAACAGTTATCATTATGTTCGAGGGGTGTTACTTTTTCTTTAAATTCATTAATTTTGTTTTTGTTTTTCTAGCAACTATAATGGTTTTAAATGGCAATTTTTCCAGGAATACCGGCACAGTTATGACATTTGGTTCTAGTATTAATTACAGGCATAATTAACAGTGTCCCTGAGGAGAACCATCTACCCTAAGCTAGTTTGATGAACCCTTATAAGGATTCTACGTTATTCTATTATCATCACAGTTCAAATTCTAAAAAATTTCAATTTATGGATTGCAATGTTGAGTATATGACAAGTAGATTAGACATTACCTTTTAGCATCGTCTCCGGACAGATCCTGGCCGTGCCCATAGTCTGATCGGGAGTTGTTACATGAGAAAAGCTGATGTTTGTGAAGCGACATTGGATCCTTGAAAATTTCCCCGCACTCCCCACATGGAATTGTCGTCTCCCCTTCTGAAAAAGATGATGTCAATATTTATATGGTGTTCAAAAAACAAAATGTATTAACTTTTATTAAAAACATTTAGAATTTGCAAATATAGAATTTGATTTTTTTTTAAAATTACGATTTTTTTTATTTTATCCTTGTTTTTTGGTGTGTTTTTTAATTTTTAATCTTAGTCTTTCATTTCTGATTTTTTTTTTTTTATCAATAAAAATATAATAACTATATTAATTTAAATATTGACAAACCATTTGTAAAATATCCTTTTTCTTTCAAAATTTTCCTAAGATACACATAAAACTCAGACTTCGACTGGCAACTTATATAATTACGTGATTTAATCATGATAATCGACAATTATTCAAAATGAGACTTTATTTCTGCTAATCCGTATTATTATATGGAATCGTTCCTAAATAAATGACCAATAATTCTTTGTACGAATACCTTTTATACAAGACATGTATGTATAGGTTGTCAGATGCAGGAAGAGAATTTACGTAGAATTTTTTTTACGTCAAACAGTGTTAAATAATTGTCAAAAAAAGAGAGCAATTCCTGACAATCGTTTAACTTGCTTATTTAATAGCTTGTATAAAAGTGTATGTCAAAAACATGCCAGAAACAGCAAACCTTAATAGCGGACAAAACAACATTTTCTTGCACCTTTGAAAGCTGGCTCGTGTATCATTTACACATTTAATGGCCGCTGTATCAACATGTCCTTTCCTTAATAATAATTCATGTCATATACATATACCTTAGTATTTCAGTTACTTTTTTGCTCTTAAATTCTCACAGAAAGTTACAATGGATTATATTAAGCTATATCTATAAGAAGGGGAGGAGTGTGGTGGGAATAAAAAATGAAAGGAAAATCTTTTAATAAGCCAGATCTGTTAAAAAATCAAAGATTTCTGTGTGAAAAATCAAAGATTTCTGTGAATATTAAATGTCCTCATTTAAAATGTCCTTTCGACTAGCTATTTATTTTCTACCTTATCTTTATGATTGGATAAAAACGTGGGGTAAACAATATGTGAAGATGTCGTACACTTGAATATCATCATAAATAACGTCTCATTGTCTTTTGTCAAGAGCTCGGAAAATTATCACCCATCTGTTCAATTACTCTCAATTCTTCCATCCCAATGGTCTGCCATAAAACACTATATTATCCCATACAAAGTGTTCTCAAAAACGAATTAAGATAACCAAAGTATGTATATCCTTTTTCAGATATTTGTAATATCCGATTTAGAATACATTGTGCCCTATATCGAAGACTATGAAATTTCCAAGCCTCTATATTGCATTGTGTGTTATATAACAACAAAAATTCATAACCAAAATAACAAAATATATGTTTAATGATTATTATTTTACCAAAATAAAGCCATTTTCCTTATGTGTGTATTAATAGCGACTTAAATTTTAAAAAGTCTAATTTTTAATACTTTCTCATTTAAAACAATAATTATTACTGTACCATTTTTCATTCATTTTATATACTGTATATAAGATTCGATCAAACAACAGGTACAAGGATATATTAAAAATGATAATTTACAAGTACGTCTATATACTAATGTACTAATACAACAAGCTATATATTCTCCGTTGATAGTCCTGAAGAACTCTTCGCACTTGAAAAGGACGTAAATGAAAGTGTAATAGAATTCCGATTAGAAATCAATGATTTATTTGCCCCACTCGAAAGAGATAATAAAGATTCAATGGGTGTAGCGCATCCTGTAGAAATACCATTTTAAATACCGCAATAAAAATATAAAATTTCCCTTTTGCATATCTTTTTATATTGGCACATTAAACTGGGATGACCTGCTTTGTTTCCTTGTTCAGAGATAAAGAAAGGGAATAAGGATGCTTATTGCTGTATGATTTATGATATTTGACAGAAATTCCCCCTATACTCCCAAAAAAATTCCCATATAAAAAATAAGAAAAAGAAATAAAGAGATTTCTTACAAGGAAAAATTGACTTCTACTAATATTTATAACTAAAATGCACAAAAGATAAATCAAGCACAGCTTTATAAGGTTTAATTTTGGAAGAAAAAAACAATTTAATCAAGTATGCTCATTATAGTCTGATGCACCAAATGATCAAAATGAAGACATTATGATGGGGTTTTGTAATCTTTTTTTATACATATATTGTGACTTATTAAATGTATCTGACACTTCAAGACTGTATAATTGTCAAAAAATGCATTATTATCTAAAAAAGAAAGATATTTTCAAATTGTGCATCTATATCTAGTATTCATAAAAATATGTCTATTTTAGTTCTAATTGATTATTTGTAGAGTATTAAATGTACTCAGTGACCACATATTTAACAATTGATTTTTTCCCCCAAATTACAATGATAGTAAAATTTCAAACTTGACGTCCTATGCGGACAAGTTTATTAAAGAACGATTCACTATTTTATTAAAATGTTTAAATCATTACGAATAAACTGAAACACTATCGACAATCAGTCAGTTTTTTCTTTACTGAATAGGATATACCCTTTCTCAAATATTAATATTTAATGGGACTAAGCGATCTTTCTCGAATGAAAGCCCTATGACACCTTTTAATTCACTAATCCTTTGTTAATCTATTTATCCGCTAATGTCTTTCGTACAATGTTGAAAATAATAAAGTACAGTTGAATCTTCAGACTTAAGTACAGAATATGTATTTGTTACAAGGTGACACTTTCAGTTGCGTTCCCGCCTTTTCAATTCAACGAATCTTCACACAAAAGGTAAAATCAGCATGAGCACCAACTTAAAATTGAAATCATTTAAAAGGAGATAATGAAAAATATATGAGTTGTTTACACGAAAAATTTCAGAATATCAAAATAAAGTAAACAATTAATAATATTTTTTTTTTTTCAACAAAAATAACACCTTTTTAAAATCAAAAACAAAATCATCTGATAACAAACAAATTCACAGTGCTTTTTCTTCATTTTTTCATCCTTTTTTTAAATTTTGTTTTCATTTTTGTCTTTCCCATGATTTCATGAAATTGCATCTGACAGATTGCATTATCCTTATATCAAACAAGCGTTTATCTCATCCTGATGTCTCCAAACTTGTTAAGCATTTCATCACATGGGGAGAACTATTTAAAACAAACCTATTAAAAGTTTTATCTGGTATGACACCACAGACTCTAAACTCTCTTACCAACACCCTCATGCCAGTATACATCCCAGTTTCATCCCCTCGGAACAGTTTTATGTTCATGCACTTAGGCACACCCCATGAATTTTGCATTTAAAATAATGAAACGCTTATTGTTGTGTAATTTCTATTTAACCCTTTATAATTTGACATTTTTTAATGACATTCAATGTCCATAAAGAAAAAAATGAGAAATGTCTGTTCTATCATGAATATGTGATAAATCATTCGATTAAAATCTTATCAGAATATAAATTCATTTTTTATTTCGTTGTTTAAAGCAGATGAGTACGGCACTTTATTTTTGAAGAGAATTGTGTTACAGGCATGCACTCAACATGTTAAAAATATCTCTCATGTAAATTGATACCCCCTACATTTAATATTGAAAAAATTTATTTCCCTAATGTGAAAAACGTCTGCACTGAAAATGTCTAAACATGGTGAAATCCGTGCAGATAGAACTTGCATAAAAATTGAATGTTTTTTTTTTTCAATATGAACAGCTTTTGCAAGGAACACCCAGTTTTCCTAAAGAAGAATTCAGAAAATTATGCGACAAAATTTCAAAATAAGGAACACTGATCTTCATCCCTGCTGAACGCCATAGAAGACATCGTGCATTGACCAAAAGCAATACTTCATAAACAGTATATAAACAAATAATTACCTGAAATCTTTTTCTGGAAAAGTCCGGTAAAATCCGGTTCCTGGTAAAGTCGGTCCTTGGCGTACAACAACATTTCTTCGCCCGCCTGAATCTCCCGTATGGCCCGATAGTACAACTGAAAATATAGATATAAACGTTCATTACTATTTTCCTCCATTATTGAAGAGTATTTGATTTTCAAACATAACATTTATTTAATATCGTTATAAATTTATAGCATTTATCAACATTATGAACAACATAATAAAAAAATGAATTATTGCTAAAGCAAGTCTGATAAGCAAGTCAGATAGTCTAATGGTAAAATATTCATGACTGTGCTAATAGTTGCTTAGACACCTTGTCATATTCCATCTAAAATTTGTAATAAAAATGCTACATTTTTACATGAAATTTTTTTATCAAGGTCCCCAATCAGAATTTCTTATTCACACCCTCGTATCATTCATCAACAGTAAAAATTTCAAAAATCAAACAAATCACTTTTTTTTTCTAAATAGTACACTTTATACTGTATTCTTATATATATTTATCTACACTTCAAAAACACGCCTTCGCTTCCCAATAGCAATTTATCTGCCTAAAAAAAATGGCAATATCTGTAACAGTCTGCTGACTGCTGATTGCCATTTCTCTACGACTTTAGATTCGCCTTTAAATTTCAAGCTTCCACTGAAGTTATCAGTCACCCCTGCTGGTATTCCAAAATCTTTACACTTCTAAATGACAACTGCATGTATGGACTGAAAGAATTATCTCAAACTACCGTAACGTTTTCAATTGGCAAGTTCTAAAAATAACTTTAATGAGAGATGGCGGAGCATGAATGTTTTTTTATTTTCACTAGGTAGACACTTATTCCGATTAATCTTTGAAAACCATCAATAATACTCTGCTGGGAAAAAAATATTTCTAAAACTGTCACGTTGGTACTTAAAACTATAAAGTAAACACCTGTTAAAAAAAAAAAATTCACAGGTTGTTTTAACGCCTTTCTTAAAAAAAGCTCCCCATGCTTTTACCTGTCCTCACCAGCCCTTACATAAAATCTCTATTATTAACAATCATCAGTGAATTCTGACAAATTTTGTGTCCATAAAAAAACAGCATGTCTTAAAAAGCCGTACCATTTTTTCTGTTGTGAACTTTTTCTTTCAAACTTTTTTCTCTCGCAATGCAAAAATCAGCAAAATTACTTATTAATTACATGAAAAACATTACTGCAAAAATCTTCTCACCGTTTTATGAATAATAAGTTTGTTCAGATTCACTCGGACAGCGAAACAGACAGTGTGTGAAATTCTTTGATGCAATACATCAAAATCTGGAAGTCGTTTATATTTATGTCATCCCATAAATTTTAAGCCTTTCTATGTAACAAGTAACGCAGCGGGTTTGCGGTTTGGAACGTCGCAGATTTCAGAAATAATTGTGGGAAAACGTCTTTTCGTTATCATTCATAAGCTGTTTTTGTCTCTCACTCGTTTGAGAGCAAGTCATGATGCCGATTCACTCAAGTGGTTGCATAATTTTTATCAAGCTTCCAGATGATATCACGGTACCATTGCAAAACTTATCAACACCATCTATTAAGAATTATTCTAAATTGGTAGATGGCATTTCCTTCAAAAATAGTTTTTTCACATAAGAAAATATACCGTTTCATCGAAAAACCTTGTACATTCTTGGGCAAGTGATTAAAAAGTAATTTAAAATCAAGCCGCGTTGTGACACAGTAAAACGTTGAGCGATGAGAAAATTCCAAAATCTTTAACAAAAATAAAAGCCAGGTGTTGAATAAATTGGTTTGTTTGAGTGACTTTTGTTTTTTGCTTAATGAGAAATTCAAAGGCATACCTTTTTTTTAATACAAAAACAGGCTTTTGATAATTCAAGAATAATTTGTCTCAAAAAGTTTACAGAATTATGACAGTTTTGCATAGACCCTTAGACTTGGAGACTTTTTGGAAGTGATATACTTAAAATTCAGTCTCTTTTATGTTATAAACAAACGTACATTCTCTAAAAATTCTAACATGACATCAAAGTACATGGAGTTCAAAACTTTTCTTTCACAGTTTTCTTTTTTTCCTGAAGATATATGCTGAGACCTTGTGCTAAGAAATTGAACAAATACTATAAAACTCTTCAATTACTGAAATCAATAAAAGTCCTGCATTCATCAACAACAAAACAAACCTCCCTGACAGAAGATTCACAAAATCAGAAATGCTCTGTGATAGGACAGTCCATCTCTATCACAAACATCTGTTAAGCACTTGACATTTTCCCTGTGTAACTCTTTAAAACTTCATCATTAACTTGATTTATTTTACTTAACTCCTCAGTATTTCTATGTTGAACTTATTTGGAATTGTCATCTGATACTTCAATGAATTTCAATATCAAATTGCTATAATTTGACAGCCAAAGGTATAGACAAACTGTGGTCAGACTGCTTCATTGACCATGGTCAGACTATCACGTCAGAATTTATACTGTATGCCATAATTAACCCATCATTTTGCCGGCTTATAAAATATCCCAAAAATTACAGTATCTTATCAAATGCGGATAAAATGACCAATCAGATTTTTTTACTCCATGCGATGTATTGCCTACAGAAAAATTTTATGCTGATCACTAAATGCTTGCTGCCATCAGGCATGTCCATGCAAACTGACAAGAGTCTGTTCTATTGGCTAGCTGAATCATTCAAGCTATGTTAAATGTAGCCACTGGAACTTTTTGTTTCACAACAATTTAAGTTAAATAAATATAACTTAGGAAGGCTAATCAATTGGATATTTAATTGTAACATGGGAGCTAAATTTGTTTGCTCCATAAAGATGACAATGTTTACATTGGTTAAACCACTACTGATAACCTGATAACCATCTGTGGGCGTAATTTTTAAACTGAAAGTGATGCTTTGACCACAATGTTTGCTCATATCCTGTCGCCACTAGATTATGTAGTGGACTTATGCCCTGCTTTGAAATTGGAACCCCTCATTGTCATTGTTATTTTAATGGGTTTTGATACCCAAAAAGCTACAGTAGTGAGTTAGCCATCAAATAATGATTGGCCACTATTTGGATGCTCACTATTAGTGTTGTTGGCTAAGTCCATACCCCTACTTACATTTTCAAAGCAATATCCTTATGTTAAAATTTAAAAAAAAAAACATTTCTTAACAGAAAAAATGTTTTGTTCTTGAAGAAGCTAAACATAATAAATTAGAAACAGTTTTTTGACAACCTGAAACATTGCATTACATTGATTCCTGACCAGTATAGAATTTGTATCTGTCTACAGTCTCATTTAAAACTCTAAAAAAATAGGACCCCTATAAGTTTGGAACTTTCAATTTAGTTATATCTATATACTTGAGCAAAGAAAGTATAAACCATTTAATACTGTGATTTATTATACCATTCCCACTGATAATGATGCTAAATCCATGATTGGATCCATTAAGACAATGAATGACCAATCAATCTTCTGTATATCTAGTTGGTCCATGGTTAGCCATGGTCACAGTCTATGGTATTAAAGCATGGTCAAGTGCAAAATGCATGCAGAAACATATTGTAATTTGTAAAATATGATATGTTTTGTACATATAGTGCTTTCTTTGCCACTGTTCTGAAGCTTGTACTGCCCTCCACCCCTTAAGTTGGTCACTGTCAACCACCCTACACCTTGATGGCCTCTAATTTTCTAATCTAATTTTCTAATCTGGGGGAAATTCTCAATCAGGTTTCCATACTATAAATATTAATTCTTCAATTTGAGAAAAAAACATTAGTCTACAGTGTCATTTTTCACAGTCTCTTTCTACATTTAACAAGAAATGACCTTGTGAGTTATGGAATCAATGCCTGGCAGACTCTTACTTCTGTCAACGCTAATGAACTGTGCACAACTTTCTGGCAAACAATATGCAAATTTTACTCAATGTGCAGATCATAAAAACTATTGAATAAAACACCATTATAAACTGACATTAAAAAATAAAACATTTACCCCACTGAATTTAAATTTCTACTTTCAATTTTGATTTGTTCAAAATTCTTGATATATAAGGATTTCAAATACTAAGCTCTACACAAATGCACAACGTTGCAGATTCAGAGGACTTGTGGCCTGGGAAAAATTTAGTCATCTGCATTTGCTATTAGTGCTTGAAGTGATTATCATGACAGATAAAAATTATGCAAAGACAATTACCTGATTCTGAAGATGTACTGCCATCAAGTTACTGGTTTCCGTGTTGTTAGATTTCTGTATATACTTCATCAACTGGCTCTCCTTCACACTCTGTGAATTAGACAAGTTAAACACTTATAATGTGAGGTTTGCATAAATTCAAGTCATAATTAAATTCAACAGTCATATTTGTTTATTATAGGAATTTGAAATATTTGTTAATAATTACTTCATCTCCTTAGTAAATTTCACAAACATTGAAGTGAGTTGTTAAGGTCTGATACTGTGAGTAACAATATGCTTTTCAGAGCATATTATGATGTTAACATACAAACTTCAAATTACATATTGATATCTATAAAACTTCATAAAATTCCCCCCAAGATTTTCCCTCATCAGTAAAAATGGAAACAAGCTAAAATTTGAAAACAAGCTTAAATTTTTAACAGAAGAAAAATCATTTGACAATGCTTGAATGTATGTCCAAAGCAGAACAATCATTGGCAGTAATTTTTTGCCTGTTGTTCCATCCTTAAAGTTTCCATCCTTAATGCATGTGAATAAAGCTTGAAATTATTAAAATAAAAATATATGTCACATTATAAGATTATAATATTTTAAGCGCCACTGTTATATAACAGACACTACAACTATCAGCTTCGAAATAATAATAAAAAATGCATTTTTACTTATTTGTCAACACTGAAATGTTACGTATGACTCAACTTAAAATGAAAATTAGTAAGCCTTTACTGAAAATGTCATATTACCTACTGGTACTTTTGATTTTTTGTTTATGGGAGTTTCAGATTCATGTTTAAACCTTGGAAATGAATGTTAAATGTATCATATATTTTTCTTTTTTAAATAGAATTTACCTTACTTCAAAATTGAGTTTGCACTTAAATTACCATCTATTCAACAAAAATTTGAAGCTTTTTGTTGTTGTAGAACTTTTTCTTTCTTTCTTTAACTGAATGCAAGAATATTCAGAAAAACTGCTTTAAAACCTATGACAGTAATAAGAAAGGGTGGTTATCTTTTTCTTTTTATCACTTATTATATTTCCTACATTAATTCTGCCTTGAAATATAATGTACAATTTTTCAGCTGTGCATTTTCTTTCCCCAAACAAGTTTTTCATTTTCTTCAATTTAACAAACTCTATCATTTTTACTTATTCAAAAAATATAACAAAACTTTCATTTTCTTTAAAGTAATTTTAAACATAAACTTACAATACTGAAACTTTATCCTACAGAAATGCGCTACACACATGAATAACTTTCAAAAAAAAATCTTGATACACTCAATTTTTACTCCATAATAAAAGTTTAACAAAAGCGGCCACTTGTTAAGTTCATTCAATGAAGCTCCAGTAGCGACACCCACTTTTATCTATAGCTCCGCCTCTTTTATCTGTCTGAGGACAATATAGAGTAACTGACAGGTCATAGATAACATATTATCCAATCAGCCTGTTTGTTACACTGTAAATCGTTTTGTGATTGGCTTAGAGTGTTCTCTAGTATAGAATGGATGGCACTTGAGCAAAATTGAGAGAAAATGAAGTACAAGTGAAACCATTTGTTTGTTATCAATAAAAATGAGTAACAGAACTCAACAAGGCCTGGGAGCTTAGATCAGTAAATCACACTTCACCATTCTTATTGACTTTGTAAAATAATCCTGTTGAGGATTTGACTCAGATATTTAACCTATTATGAATTGTTGAAAAAAAAGATCCCCTACATATCTTGCAAGCTGGGATGCACAAAAAAAATGAAACAAAGTGATACTTATATATTTTCATTATTTTGCAGTCAGTTTTAACTTAATTTATTAATTTAGATTTTACTGTTCATTATAATTAATATAGAACTAATGTAATGCATAGGATAAGTTAAGTAATATATACCATGTCCTTCTATATTAACTTCATTTAACTTCATTTTGATATTATATAATGATATGTAATCAATAAATATAAGAATTTAAAATATAATGATGTATTAAAAATATTAATCTTTTTTCTATTAAAAGATGGAGAAGAGTATGATATGACTCACTCAAACTTGTTACCATATATCTGCTGCAGTTTAGTCAATATTTTAATATCATGATTTTCAAAGTAAAATATGTTAATTTATAGTTGTTATAAAATAATATATATTACGTCAGACTCCAAAAAAAAATTACCTTAACTTGGACATATAAATGTTAATTAAGCATAAAAAAATTGCCATCATATAAGCATCTTAATTAATTTTGATGAAAAAATCATGTATACTTTTAGATTATAATATTTATATAAGATTTTTTTTTTAAATAATGATCTTGAAACTTTATGCTAAATAGCCTTTTAATTGTTAGAAATGGCCATTTTTAAAATATTAAAAGAGTTTCGTAATATCACGTTCCGAGATACATTAATCATAAACAATAATCATGTATTTGATATGGTTTGGACACATTCCTTATTTTATGATATATTTTTGTTACTAATCCCTTTTTTTTCATCTTTTACACACCTTGTTAGCGTGGGGATATTTTCGAAATTTACAGAATTCTGTCCGGTTAATTAATCGCAATTTATGAGTATGTACGTAGTTTCCAGGACATTTCGTTCTCAAGGCATCAAAGAACCTCCCCTTAACAAGTATCAGAAGCATGCGTCTAAATGACACAGACTAAAATGCCAAAGCTTCCATTGGCACTGATTAGATGGATGGCATTTTGGGATAGATTAATCCTATCATGGTAGCCCTGTAATTAGCATATACAAAATAGATATTAATGTGAAAATTATAGGCATTTAGTGCCTAGAAGTTTTGTTAATCACCCAGCTGCTCAAAAAAATTATATCATTTAAATAACTGTGATATTACACTGAAAAAAGTTAGTCACAAAGTTAATTTGTGGTCATATTCTGATGAATATCTACATAATATAGAAATTAGAGAACGACAAAAAATAATAATAAGCACCAAAAATAACTAAATATATCTTTACTGTATCTTTTACGTTGCTGTTGGTATTTTGACTAAAATGTTAAATAATTATTCCAAACGTTTGCTGTATCTTTTCTATATTGAAATATTATTTAATACAAGATTGTTCGTGGATGATAAAATCAAATTAAAAAGCCATTAAAAATCTGCTTTGGAAAATAGTAAATATAATATATAAAACATTTATTATAAGATGACACCTAGAAAGGCAAAAATTGTTCAAATGTTTGATTTTTTAAACGTATCATGCATATCAACTGTTCAATGTAAGAATCATAAATACCTTCTATTATCACTTTGCTTTAAACAATTTCCAAGTCTTCTTTTTCTTTGAAGAATTTAATTACAGTTTACTGTCTCTAAAACTTATAATGTCCAAGAAAGCACTTTTGATGAAAAAGTTAGCACATATAAATTGTATACATAAATATTTTTCAATTCAAATAAATTGATATCATTCCACAAAGATGTATTGAAGTAATAATGAAATCTTTTCAAAATATTCCAAGATATATATTTCAAAGTTCCACATGAGTAAATTCAGTCAAACAACACAAAATAATTGAGTTAAATAGATAAATCTGTCATAAAATTAGAGCCCTTGATTGGATTATAGTGTTAAAATCTGTTTTTTGTCAACTGTGCACTGTCAATACAATAGAAGATGATTATCACCTTTTTTGTTGGTACAATATGGGGGATTTGTTTGGTGTTACAAGTCCTTTGGGGTAATTAAATATCTTTGACAGATAATTTACTCAATAATTGCAGTTTGTTGATGATTTAATGGGATTTCAATCACCTGAGCAAAATGGCTTGAGACACACTGACAGATTTTGTCATTTCTAGAGCTTTGGGTTCTTTTGTAATCCTTTTGACACATATGATAGTTTGACAAAAGACTTATTTTCAATTTTATCACTGTGAAGGGTTGTTTAAAAAAATCTTCCAGATGTTTTTATAGTATGTCTACCAAATTCACAATATGCTATTATTGTATGCATTTTCAATTAGTTTTACTTCTTGTAAGAAGATCATCTGATTGCTGTCATTTTTTTTCATCTGCAAGATAATGTTATACATACAAATGCATTTTTATTTTGTAATTGTTAAAATTTAAAACGTAATTCTTGATGTCAAATCAAATGAAATGAAAGAATAAAAAAATCACTTTTATAAATAAATTTTTAACTGTTAATTTAAAAGATATTAATCAGAATTCTCTGAAGTAAAAAAAAAAAAATTTCTTCTTCTTTTCCAGAAAAAACCCCCAACAAACACATTTCATATGACAAAAAAGTTGTTTGTTTTCTTACTGCTACATTGTGTAAAAGGATGAAAATGTGTATGGATTAAAAGTTTATATTTTGGAATTATAATCAGCAAAAAGGTTTTAGCCCTACATATACAATGGTCACATGAAGAACTAATGTCTGTTTTAGCTCATTTATGACACTCATATCATAAAATAAACTGAAAAACATTCATAAAGTGAACACTTTTATTACAAGAATTTAGATGAAAGCCTAAATCACCCCTCATGATCACAGCTTTAATACCCTGCTATGAAAATATCTTTTAAATGCTATTTTCATGAGAAGTAAATTTCATGATGTACACCTGTTAAGAAGATTAGCACCGAATCACGCAAGTTGTCATTCACATCCTAGGAATGCTATTACACTAAAGGCAGTGCAAACTCCAAGTAGCAGCACTGTACAAATGTACGAAAACAATGTTTACTTCATTACGGCACTTCCCTTAAAAACCTTAATTCGTCAGAATGATGTAGCGGTAATTTGGGAGCAAAGTTTATTAATAAAAAATATCTTAATATAACTACATTATAAATGTAAGTTTTGCAATATTCCAAAAGATCTTTGCTCCATCAGCACTTTTAAGTATATTCGAACCAGACTGAAGTCTTTTGCAACTTCCATTTTTTTGTTAAGATTATAAATAAAAGTATCTTGGACCATACTATTAGTTTACTTGTCAAAAATGGGTGCAACTTTCAGAAAGCGGGTCAAATCTGGAAATAGACGCACTAATTAGGTCATATAACCCAAAATAGACAAGTGAAGTGCATTTTGGAACCAC